CCTAAGACAGGAACGTGTTTTAGGACAACTTTGATTAAAGGTTTTGATCCACTTCAAATGTTGACTAGTGTATAGCATAACTATACTTGGACTCCAAGATATGGAAAGATATCAGAATAGGCTATTTGTTTGCATATGATTGATACTTTATATTGTTTAAAAACATATGTGGATAAAGAGAGCGATGTCTATGGCGTTATGAGATGGCACTATTCCCTAAATACTTAAAATGTGGAGACCAAATATACCACCATAACGAATTTCTCATATTTGTCATAATATCATTATATTCTATGGGTTTAATGAATTTGCAGACAATGTAATTATCCGTGACTGTCATATTACTGTAAATTCACTGTCTTACAGGAGAGTGCCATTGAATGTGTAGCTAATATGAATGAAAAACTAAAATCAGAACTGAAAACAAACATTGGATGAAAAAATAAACTCCCAATAAATATGGGAGTTTGTAATTCTATCACAGCATTTATTGTGTTATACCTTGTGCATCATTTACATTTTGCATTTGATGTTGATTTGATAGGAACCATTATAATGGTTACTTATTGGCATCATTGTACACATTGAGAATGCCATAATGTCAGGTTCATATTGTTAGCAGATGTTTTATTCTTCAGCTCTGATTCTGGACTAATTTATTTATTTTCCACACTCCGTGTTTGCATATGTGTTTGTGAGTATGTACACATCACTGGTGTGTCTGGTTTATATCTGGTTTGGTCTGGTCTGGTTTGCTTGCTAAATGGTCCATGCTGAATCTCAGTGATGCCAGCAGAGACCGCCCTGCCTGCCTGCCTGCCTGCCACATTTTCTGACTGTCTTGCCATTTATCTAGCTGTCTGTCTGTCTGTCATCAGTCTGTTGGTACATTTAAATTTCTGTCTGTCGATTTGTCTGTGTCTGTCTCTAATGTTTAGAGACAGTAGGCAAACTAGTTAACAGACAGATAGATACATAGACTGACAGGTTAACACAGACAGACAGATGTATTTATTTAAAAAAATGTTGCAGATGTTAATCTTTAACTACATGTTGTCATATAAACAGATGGTCTGTAATTATATTGATTTGCCTTAAGTACACAAAACTTAATTTTGAGATGTACATCACTTCAAATTAGGGCTGCCACTAACGACTATTTTTATTTCTATTAATCTATCGACTAATTTATCGAATAATCGGTTAATCTAAACGATTAATTTCCCACAAAAAATCAACAATTTTACTTAAGAATATTTTATTAAACTATATTTTATTAAACCAAATGAAATCCAAATATATTTATTTAGGAGGAAAATATATATATATATAAAATCAATTAATTGGAGATGCTTTTGATTATTAAAATTTAATGGAACCATTCAAATGGAATCCAGAAAGTAATGGAAAACAGAATTTGCTAAAGATAAAACTGTAAAACTCAATTAATTAGACAGGCTTTTTGATTAATAACATTTAATTTAACCATTTAAACAAAGTATAGAAAAATGAAAATGGAAAAAAACTGAATTTGGAAATAAAACGGATTTCATAGGGCCCTATAATTATAATAAAAAATTTTATGGTAATAAAAATAGATGTAAGTGAACAATAGCCTTTAAAATTACTTAAAATACATATATAATAGCAATGAGGAAATTATAATTAGTTGAAATAAAGTATCAAAAGCAAGAAATCGTATGGTTTTATTGAACAAAACTGTTAAAATACATAATGTACTATAAACAATAGTTCTAATGTACATTACGCATTACAACAAAGG